TTTAATTAAGTTTTTTTTCAATTCGTTTTTAATTATTTTCTGTCTAATCCTTGTCCATTAAAATGTTTCYAATTCCTTCTTCCAGATGTCCTTGGAAAAGCTGCGCAAATCTGATACGGAAGTGCGCTGGCAAGAAGATGAAGACGTCGATAATTGTCCCACATGCAGCACCTATTTTACAGTGACTGTGCGTAAAATTCATTGTCGCCATTGTGGACACATCTACTGTGAAAAATGTCTGACGAAGACAGTGCCGTCGGGCCCGCGCAAAAAAATCGTACGTGTCTGTGATATTTGCCATACACTGTTAAAACCAAATACGGCGCCCTACTTTAGTCAAGAACCGCTACCCGCTAACTGAGCAACTACATACTAATTCGCTTTTATTTACCTTTAAGAACTTGTACTACATTCTTACATACCTATGTATATTGAAAATCATTTAGATAGTCTGACAGTTTGTTGTCTCGAAAAAACAAAAAAACAAATTTCCTTTTAGGGGCTAAAATTTAGAAAAATAATGATATTTTTGTAAAAAAAAAAATCGATATATTGAGAATATTATSTGTTCATGTTGGTTGATGCTCCTGTGCATACTTTGATATCAGCTGATAGTTATGTGTATGTATGTTTGTTGAATTTGAAAGAAAAGAAAGCAATCATATCCAGTCATAGCACCGCTCATAAAATGAAGATTTGAATATGTAAAATTGTGTTTTCTATATTTGCTTCTTGCAAAAGGTACATCAAGTGTGCTAGCTAATGAACTATTGCCAACAATATACATAAATTTATTTTATTAAAAGCAAAGCAAAAAGGATCAATATAATTATAATTATAAATAAAATAAAATAAAATGTGTAAGAGCGTAATTAGTGTAATGTGCAAGTTGAAATAAAACTTAAAATAAATTTAGATTCTATATACATGTAGTATAAATTAATACAAGTCACTGGAAAAATACATAAGACAACATTGTACTCAATGTTCTGTGTGGTTGTGTGTAAGTAACGAAGCAAGTGATGGTCATATACAATCTCGTCTTTATCTGCCTCTAAAGTGTCTCAGACGACTTAAATTGGATTCTGCAAATAAACTTTAATTTTATTTCCATATCTGCAATGTATTCTTAATCTATTTTGAGGACCTACCTCACCACAACGATCTACCCAGCATTGTGCCAAACACGGAAATCAGGAGCGCAACAGTCAAACTGAAAACTGTATTTTTCGAAACTGCAAAAGAATATATTTTGATTGTGGTAAACAACTAATGCAAAATATACTATATGTACATAGTTATGTTGTTGTTGACATAAATATTATTTTTTTCATCGAACTTTTTTTTTTCAAAGACAATTTGTATTATTATTATTATTTTTCAATTAAACATATAAATATTATTTTGTGAAGAAATTATTATTATTACTTTCATTTTTAAAAAGTTATTAATTTTTTTTATTTAATAAAAATAATGATTATTTTTTTAATTGCACTTATGAAAATTACTTAGAATACAACATAAAAGAAAAAAATGTGTTGAATATTTAATTATTTGTGTATTTACAGTGAGTAATGTTGTGAAAATGGTTAAGAAGCATTAAAAATATAAAAACTTTAACAAGTAATTGTTGTAATAGTAAAAAAATAAAAATAAAAACGTGATAGAAAACGAAGCTGGATACCAGTTACAAATAAAGAAGATTCAGTTTGTCTAGTTTCTATGGCAACTGATGATATACATAGTTACATATATCAGTATAGTAGTCCGATTTGTGAAATTTCTTCGTTTGTTGTACTTGTAGTTCGCGTATATACAGACAGACGAACAGCTTTAGATTTTGCTAACTGCTGTAATTAAAGGTACGTCAACCGTCAGGAGTTATRCTCCTGTTGAAATTTGGTTTAGACGAACTTGCTTTCTTTACAGTTGCATGGTGTACCATCTGATCAAATTTGACTCGGATTGGTTCATAGCTCATGTTTGTTTGACAGTGTTTATTTAGATGTTTAGGGATTTGCAACAGGGAGGCTTACTAMAAGTTTTAAGTGTGATAATGAAGATTTGTATTTCAATAACTGAAATGTAGTTTATTTTATCAGCTCGTACCAAATCAGATAGTATAATTAGTTTGAGGCTAAGTTTTCTTCAAAAAAATAAATAACCAATTT